AAAAAAATAAACAAAAATTATGGAAATAGTGATAACACTAAAACAAATAGAAAAAATATTTAAAATAACTTCAAATATGAAAACTAAATTTTTGAGCCAGTTTCATTTAGAGAATGTATACTTGTATTTATTTCTATTTGTATATATTTATTTTGATACATAAATCAACTAAAGTATAACTTTGATTACCAGTTAGCTTGTACTTGTTCCAATCCAATCACCTTACTTGATAATGCACAACTTTTGTATTTCTGCAGGCGTATTTCTAAAAATAATAATAAAGTTATATGAGTTATGAGCAGAAATGCACAATTGCAAATTGATGATAATAATTACTACTCTAAAGGATATTTGTTTTATAAAACAATTCAGGCAGCTTTTGAATAGTGATCTTGTATTATGTACAAATATTTACAAGTTATAGTAAAAGGTTCTGACAAGAGGCAAGATTAATAAAGTCTTCTATCGCTGGAAGGTTCCGAGCCAAGCGACTAGTTAGAGCCAGTCACCAACGCTTGTGCGCTTATTTCAACGTACTTTAATCACTTTGAACGTCGGCTCAGACTCTCTCAAGTTGCTTGCAATAAGTGTTCTTACAATGTGTACTGACTTATTGGCACGCTGAGAGCTGATCCCGTAAGAGAAAGATTTAGGAACGGGGCTTCGGTTTTATACTCTTGAGGTCCATCGAAGCCCAACCCTCGTTCCTCTGGAGGTAGGTGGTGGACATTCTCCCATCTCGTTCATCTTCCCTATTTGCGATGGTTTGTGCTTTTTCCTCATCTCGTCTTGGGTCTTCGGTAGTCATGTCCTTTTCTGACATGCACTCATTCTTGGACATGACCCGTTCACGATGATGCAATCTGCATTGGTGTGCCTAACTGCCTACTCTCGCGTAAGCAGTCTAGCATCCCTCAGTGCGCCTTCGACTACTAGTGACCAGTGCACACATACCGTTACTTGCCACGACACTGTGTATTTAACATGGGCCGCACTGGGGTGTTTTTATCTTAATATTTATTATGCTACACTACTGTATAATTAAGACATTAAATTTGACCAGTACCACAATTTATTGCAATATTGCATGGAATAAAACTGAAATATTTATTTTATTACAATAATGCAAAAAGTTATTATTTTTTGTAATATAATAGAAATTCATAAAAATTCTTTGGAATCCAAATTGTTTTATTCATTTTTTTTACTTTTTGCAAAAACTGATTAAAAAAACAAATTATATATTGTTATTTTTTAAATAATCACTCACTGAAAATTGTATTATTATTGGTAATATTTTGGAGTCTTATACATGTATAGTTGAATGTATATTGAATTTCTAAAAAAGAATACATATGTTTAGATTTGTTTTATGAAATGAAATACTTTAAACAACCATTTTAAAAAATATTAAAAGTAAGAAAACATGTAAAATAAAAACATAATTGAATTTCAATTGATCGGAAAACAATTGATTAATATACACACAGTAAAGGTAGCATTTTTCATCGATGAATGTACATAAACTTTTGCACTTTGTACAAATATTACAAGCAAATTTGAGCAAATAAATCATTTGAAATAATGAAAAATTTTAAAAATATTTAGCATCATCATAATCATAAAATATTAATCGTAAATTTATAAAATTGTGATGAGAAAAAAACAACTATTGTAAATAAATTCAGCAAAATTGTATAAATTTTCAAATCCATCACAAAACAATTTTTTCGAATTGTTAACAAAAACTAGTAACGTACTATACAATTAACAGAGCCGATCAATTTTCGATGGTACTAAATGAATTATCTGTCATCAAACTCAAGCAAACACTTTTTTAATTTGGACAATCTTGCACATACTCATAATTATGATATAATTGAATTAAAATAAGTACTCCTCTGAACTTACTCTATCCATTCCAAGTCCTGGCTGAATGGACTAATGAAAGAGCGAGTTGTACCCGGTTGTTCAAGTCCCATCTGTCAATAACCTACATAAATAATATAATTATTAGGCTAGGCACATGTACTACTATGTTATTTCTATTAGTAGGAAGAAAAGTTCAAAACTTGTTTCCTGACCAAGTCCTACATTTTACTTCGCGACTTGCAATTAATAGATCAATACATTGTGCCTTTCGCAAAACTGTAGATTAACAAAGTATTAAACAGTTTTTCCAAAATACAGCCTTGGAATATTAATTATCATTAATTTAATTACAATTAAAGGTGTATAACTATTTGGTAAATAGCATTTAAATATTTCTTGAAACAATTAAGGGTGTTTGATTTTAATTGTAAGTCCTGATGAATGGTTGCAATAAAAATTTAAATTAGTTAATGCATAGCTATAAAAAAACATTAGTTAAAACTGAAGACGGCGTGAATGTGTTGAATATTTTAATGTGCTTTGCAGATCTCTTATAAATATGATGTGATGTAATTGTGTTCTCAAAATGATGTTCTATAATTTGCAAGTATTCAGTTTTGTTTTGTTCTATCGCATTGCGATTTGTTAAAACTAGCAAGCTGTATGTAGATCCTATGGAACAAACAATGTTATTTGAAGAAAGAACTTAATTATATGATTATTCTTATAAAAGCGGTATATGCAACTTTATTAACACAAATTGTATTAATAAGTTTCTTGTCAGGCAAGAAGATTGAAACTATATTTCAAAAGAGTTGATATTCCAACATTTTATCTTTTACACATTATGTTGTAAAAAATTATACAGCGCTTAGTATTTCTTATATGTACAATATGAGTTTCAAACAGTACAAAAATATTACAAATGCTTCTGTTTATTTGCTATTACAGATAATAAATGAATTATCAGAACAATATTGTAACAATATTCTTGCTTTTCTATATTAGTAAACAAGATAGTACTGCTTGCTATTCAGATATATATTACAAATCAATATTAAAACCATTTCCTTATCTATGATTAAAACTAAAAAAAATCAAATAAAAAATGTGTTGGCTAACATAATTGAGCACAAGCCGATAATTTAATGTTACTAGAGATCATAAACTGTGTGTATAAATATCTCAAAGTGCGTGTATAAATATTCTAAATTTTATGAATATATTGTGAACTCTAAATCTGATAATATATTTTTTGCACAATTGGCTTGGCCGATTGTTATGCAAAACTAATTAACATACCTTAAGGCAAATTGCCTGAACTGAATTAGACAACTACCGTTCACTAGGATCACTGACTCACAAACTTCATCTCATAAATAGTATATTTGTCAAAGGCTTCGACTGATTTCAATTTATATAATTTCAAATCTCAATTCAATTCAAATTCAAATTCAAATATATCTTTGAAAATTTTACAAAAATAAAACGGCAAAAACTTTGTTAAAAAAATGGATATATATTTTTGAAAATTTTACTAAAATAAAATGGCAAAAACTTTGTTAAAAAACCATGGATAATATATCTTTGAAAATTTTACAAAAATAAAACGGCAAAAACTTTGTTAAAAAATCCTTGGACTGTTTTCTTTATTACATTTAACCATCACTTACTAGGTATGCCAATTCTTTCGGAAAAAGTTGATTTTGCTAAAAACTAATCAGCAGGTCTTCACGTTAATATTAGTAATGCAAATGTACTTTGGATACTTCAAATCGCATGCTGCGTTCGCTTAAAAACTGCCATGTTTTGCACTTTTTGCTCTGTATCTTGGAATCAGCTGGACCTGCTTTTGCTAAAACCTAATTAGCACGTTTCCCAGTCATTTCGAATCGAAGGTTTTTTATCATTCAAAACCGTTGACCCTGAATCGTGAATATAGATTGTATCCAAACATACATACTAGGGTTTGTCGGTTTTCAAAAACCGGTTTTAAAAATCGTTTTTTTGACGAAAATTTTTCACTGTATAAATGGAAAATAACGAAAATAGCCAAATATAAAAGATAGTTGCAAGCGTTTTGATTCTTGGAGAACCATATCAGCCTGCTATGGTTCTCAGAAAAGTTTTGTGTTCTCTTTTGTCTAATATATATATAAATTTAGATTTTTATACCAATGTATATATTAATTTAAATCAGTGTCTTCTTTTTGAAGAAGTAACTTTTTCTACTCAAACTTAAAAAAAGAGTTTTTAACCCTAGAAGCCACAAATAAAAGAACAAAAATCTTAGAATTATTATATCAGACTTTTAAACAAGAAAATAATTAGAACTTTTAAAATTAATTAATTAAAATTGCTCGGAATAAAAAATAATAGTTTAGCTTAATTGTTTTTAAAACTAAAATTGTAATTCACAAGTATGTATCAACATGTATCTAATTTTTTTATATTTGTTTTTAAATTAATAATTGTTTTTTATTTAAAAATGTATTATTTTTATTTATTCAAAAACTTTCCTTTCACTATAAAAATATTTTCATTCGAATAACGAATAATTATTTTCAAAGTTATTAATCCAGATAAACTTTTTTTTTACTAATTAAAATTAAAATAATTTTGTTTACTATCCATAAAATTGACCAATAAATAAATTTATTAAAATACTGCTTTAAATCGCACTAAATTTGCAGATAAATTTTTGTTGTTACAGAATATTCGAGCAAAAATTTATTTTCTATATAAAATTCGAAAACCGGCTAAAACCGGTTTATTGGTAAAATTAATATTCGAAAACCGGTTTTCGAAATGTCGGTTTTTTGTATAAACCCTAATACATACACACACGCCACACACATCAATTTCTTTCACGGTATTTTAAAATATCCAGAAACCGTTAAAATGTAAAGATTAGCAAAAATTTTTAATTCCGATTATTTTATTGCGTTTATTACAACTGATCCTCCGGGAAGTTAAAAACAAACTTAATAATAAAAATGTGACAAAAACGCAATTTTAGTTATTCAAATATAACAATTTATTTTTTCATCTATTTACATCAGTTTTTATATTTTATATTTTATATTGAAAACAAAACTTGTATTTAGGCAATAAATTGAAATGCTTGCTCAATAAAATTTACATGACATATTTTACATTATCCAACATCGATAAAATTTTGGAAGAATTTTCTGTAAATTTACATGCAATCTTATACAATTTATTTTTGATATATTCACGATTTATTTTCATTATATGAAAATATTTTTACGGCACTCTACGATTGTCTTTATTCACTCCTTTTAATTCACAAGATTGCACAGATTTTGAGACTAGACTTTTTTCAAACTCGACTCTAAACAGAAAAGGATCATTAATAGAATAAAAAACAATGTATATATATATATATACATATATATATATTTTATAATTAATTAATTTTCTAAATAGAATACTTTGCTAAATTTAAATGACCCTATCTTATTATCAAGTTAAATAAAAACAAATTGAAAAAGAAATATTAATAATTATTAAATTAATTAACATGATGCAAATGCTACATCTGAAATATTTTACTTTTATCTTTATATAATATTAATTTTTCTTTTCATAATTTATAATCTAGATCAATACACACCTGCAATCCCACATTAGCTGCGGGTCATCTTGTGACATCATTATCACTATCTTGACGAACGCAGTTTTTGGTATTAAAACTGGTATTAAACCTAAATCAATAATAACCAATTATGAATTAGCTTGCAATTATATTTGACCCAGAATACTGATTCTGACATTACCTAAAATTAGTTTTCATTTGAGATCCATCGGACCCTCTTCTAGAACCACCAGCTCCACCGCTGTGCTGGGCCTCGGTACGATTACCGCAACAAAAGCAGTATCTAAATAAAAATATTTTTATCATTGCAATATTAAATGCACTTTCAAATAAAACAATATCAATAAAACATTGATGAAATGAAAAAGAACAGTGAAAACTGTTGTAGGTAAACCAGATAAATTAAGAAATAATTTATATTACATTTATCGGAAGAATAGATTATTTTATAAATAAAAGATACTGTAATGATGGTTTAATATTAAACCATAAAGTAGTAATATGTATTACCTACAATGCAAGATGATATATTGATCAGGTGAATCCACGACTTATTCAACAATGTAACTGCCATTATAACTAGTTGGTAATGGTATTTTTCCTCGAGGCAAGTTACATAAACTTTCTGATATGTATAAATAATCGACTTAATCAATAGAAAATAAATTAATTTATGAGTGATTGAAAGTATTCCTAGCAGATTTATTACATATTATTGAAAATGAACGAACACGTTAACTCGGAGTATTTTCTAAAAGCATAATTTCAAAAATCAACAATTTTTATAATTGAACCAGTTTGCGTCGGACTTTATAATGGTTTAATATGTTCATTACGACAAAGTACTCTATTGTTATACCAAGTAAATCACCTAATTTTAATTTTAACAAACGTCAAAAAACTACTAATTTTCTCAAACTTTGATGAATTTTTAAAATTAAACTACTTGTCATAAGGTCGTAATATTTCAGTAAGTTCTATATGATATATATCGCCAAAAAAGTTCCATAATAATCGGCTTGATTTTTGGCTGATCGTCGGTCAAATTTGGTCTCATTCGATTCAGAATTGCTTGAAACGTCGAGAAAACATAAAATTACCGAATCGGATTTTTTTAAGAAACCATAAACTTCTCCTTCGGAAGGTTAAAAATATTTTTTTTTTCAGGAATTGAATTTATATATTTCCATTATTGCCAAAATTGCATTATAAAATATTGAAATTCTAAAAAGTAGACTTTTGTTACTTCTCAATATTGGCAAGATATTGTGTGATACGAAATTGCTTTAAATTTGTAATAGTCATAGATAAAGAAGTGTGGTAATAGTAATGAAAATCTATGAATAATTGCAATTATCATACCTGCAAATGATGCGCTTGAAGGCGTATCTAAAATCTTTGCTAAAAAGTGCATAAATCAGCGGATTGATGGCAGAATTGCAGTAGCCGAGCCAGAATAGAACCGAGAAGAGAACAGGATGAATGCAGTCTGGACAAAATGCTCTTATTACGTACATTGTGAAAAAGGGAAACCAGCATACAATAAAACCACCGACAATTATTGCAAGAGTTTTGGCAGCTTTCGTCTCCATTCGAAATCGTTTCACCTGAAGAAAAAAATAATATTATGAATATATCATGTTACTTGGCAGACATCTTATGAAATGCATTTATAACGAAAATTGCAGGACTTAATATGAATGGATACCATTATTATCACAAAAATTATTATTTAATAATTAATACAAAGTATAAATTAAAAAATAGTTATGCATTTATAAACGTGCTCTCTAAAATTTATCATCTTAATATATATAATATTATAATAATAAGTGTACCTGAGCTTTTATATTACGTTTGCCCATTTTTCTATTTTGCTGCTGCAGTTTGGAAGTCGAACCTAACTCGCTATCATCACGATAAAGACTTCCAGACATTATCCTTCTTGTTGGACTTGGACTTGAACTTTCGCATAATTGAAACCCAGCCAAATCTAATTTAATTGAATTAAAAGGTATTATTAGAATAATATGAATCAGGGCAAAACAATGCTCACAGAGCACATAAATAATCTTCAGCATAGCATTAATTTTCTTAACTCGAGCATCTTACATTTTAAAACTAATTTATTTAAAAGGAGATTTACTAAGGGTTGTCTGATTTCGTTATGCAATAAACCCATTAACAAACGTACTAACAGTAATTCGCATTGTAATTAATACAAAATATTCCTCGACCAATTTTCAAACAAAATTAAAAACTGAATAAAGTATGTCCCTTTTTATTACTTTCCGGAACAATATGTCTTACCATTTCACACATTTTAAAAAAATCTTTGTAAACACAATTCATTCAGAGGTCAGCCTTATAACAACTTTGTGTATAAATATAGTTTCTCAACTCAAAATCATATTTAGTTTTGAATGTTTGAACTATTGATATCTTGGTTTTATATTTTGTGTCAACTAGTGTAGTATAGTTATAATTTATTTTTGTCTGTAAGTGTCTATCGATAAGTCCAATATTTTTGCATTTCCTCTTTTTTAAAATTAATTATCTAATTTTCTAGTTGTTCCGCTGCATAAGGGTCTTAATGTAGACAGAAAAGTATGGATTAATAACGCTGATTTCCTAAATGCTTCAGTTTTTTTTTTACTTGGTGTTTTTGCCCAAATAAACACACTAATTATAATATATACATGATATTAATTAAATATACATATTTTTTTGAATGGTGATAATAATGTTCATTAAATAAAAATCTTTTTAAACAGGCATCCATCAAGAAAATAAAAAAAGAAAAACTAGTGGTGTATGGCATCGTGCTTTAAGGTTACACCTAGACAAATTGTTAGGTTAACCCCTAGACAAATTGCTGCGACTTTCCGTACCGTAACAAAAAATTAATATAAATATTGTAACATTTGCTAATATTTATAAGAATTATATGAACTGAATTACAAAGTTAAAAGTATTTATTTGAAATAAATAAGTGAGCTTTAGAACATTATTACCAGTATTAAAATTAAATTTTAATTATTTTCGATATATAAAAAAAATCTTGAAATATTTTTTTTCCAAAAGCAATTGTTTTGTCAATACAAGCAGAAAGTTTTTCGAAACATTCAAATAAGATGCTTAGTTCACTAAAAAACTGCCATTTTTTATACATTTAGCACTGTATCTTCAATATGGCTGGACCTGGATTTGCCAAAAACTAATCACCACTTTTAATAATTATACATTATGAATGTTTTAGGATCATTCAAATTGGACCGTAATCACCGTAATGGTTGGACCTGTCTTTGCCAAAAACTAATCAGCACATCTTCCTATCAATAGGAATCGAATGTTTTTTAAACCATTCAAATGGGTCGATCGCATCAATTTTTTCTGAGACAAATCAGATTTTCGGCCCATTACTATAACTACCCTACGCATACGGGAAGTTAATAAAGAATTTTTAAAGATAAATATAGTTTCCAAGTGAAAATAGAACATGGTTAAGGTTTGATTGCTGTTCCAATAAACAAAAGTATAGATTTTTACAGTTTTTAATTTATTGCAATATCAATTGAAAATGCAGAAAACCCCATAATCTCAGTTAGAATTTTCAAAGCTTTATACCTCTACTATCGCAGCTGCTGGATCGCCTATGCATTCCCTTCGACAGTGTAGGCGACGGTGCCAATCTTTGCGACGTAACTCGGAGATGATGATTATCCTGTGGCCGATAGATGGAACCCGAATTTAATTGCTGATTCACCGTTAATTGTTGTTGTTGCTTAATGGGCTGTTGTTGGCTCGAAGAATAGACTATTTGCTGCTCTGGCATCAACGAATGATTTGACAAGCTGTTACCATTGGACACAGAGTAGTGTACGGTGTACATGTTGTTTGTAGCATCACCTAAAAGATAATAGATTATGTTGATGTTGATCGATCTTAAGGCATAATTTAAAATTGATTAATCTCAGATTTGAATTTTTATTTTTTTTAATTGCATTATATTTGTAACCTATAAAAATTCTTCACATCGTGACACAAGCCAAATGTTTTTAGAATCATTCTATATGAATCCTCCGTTATCTCAAAACCCGAATTGCCATTCTTGCAGCCCTGGATCTTCAAATAGACTGAATCTGCCTTTGCCATAATCTAATTAGCACCTCTCCCCATCAGTAGCAATTGAATGCTTTTTGAATCAATGCAGTCAGTTGGTTGGCGTTCTCGAAATCATAAACAAGAAATTGTATCCGAACAAACGTACATACTAGGCACATCCATACACACAGGTCCACCAGTTAAGTTAGTAAACAAGTAAAACAGTAAACATTTCTTTATCATAATATAACTGTTGTTATAGTATAAACTTTCAATATTTTTATATGATTGTATTATATTCGGTGAAAATAAGTCTAACGACACCTCAACCTTTCTTTGAGATAATCATTTTTATTTTATTTATTTATTTATTTGGCTTCAATCTTATGGTTACATACATTACATACATTTATAATATTAACAATTTGGGGACGGCTGTCCGCCTGAGTGGACAAACATATTCTGTGAGGCACAGACTATTTTGTAAACAATGATTCAGTTTGCATCAAAAAGTTGAATAAATTACATATAGCAGTGATAAACAGTGTTATATTTTGAAAATAATTTTAAGTTATTTTAATAGTATTTTTAGCCTTTTTCTTTGCTATAGTCTTTTTTTAATATTTAAAACGACTTTTAAATATGGCAAAACGACTGGTAAATTTTGTGAATTAAGCAGTAGTGAAAATGAGTTTCAAATAGACATTCATACACAAATTTTACGAAATTACTATTCGCACCGAAGAAAGTGATGAATGTGATGATGATATTATCCAACCACAAAAAGTAAAAGAAGTTCGACAAATTGAATGTAGAGCGGAACGACATTAGCGAATGTGCCGATTCTCCTTCAATAATCGAGTTTGGCATTCATCAACAAACACTCCGACTACAAATACCAAGCAATATAAGACATTCAATAGCTTATTTTACTTTAAAAATTTGAAATGAATTATTAGACAATATAATAGAAAAAACAAACCATCATGACAGCAAAAAAATGAACAAATATACTGACTACACAGTGGCATATTCTAAATGCAGGAGAAAGGAAAAAAGCGATTGTATTGTCTGTTCTGACAGAAAAGCACCAGGAGGAAGGCGGCGAACAACATTTTATAGTAAAACATGACAAAATCAACCAGATATGCATTTTGGAAATTGTTTTGAACGTCACCATTCTTTATAAAATGATCAAAAATAAATTAATAAAAAAAAATTAAATGTATGTCCTTCAATGACCAAATTCAATTCAAATTTTTATCAAACAAATTGCATAACATACACAATAAAATCAAGTTTACATCCGGTACAATAGATTGTTTGGAATTCGGTGCCGTCCCGTAAGTGTTAAGTATAACTAAAATTTATGATCATTGAAAGTTAAACAAGAACTAAAGTTGAAAAGAAGAAGATATTAATTCACTCTATGCAGGTGTACTATATTTAAGACAGGGTGTTATAAAAAACACATAAGGAAATTCAGGTAATTTTATGATTTTGTTCAAAAGCGTTTTCTATATTTCAGATATTATTTTTTACATTATAAAACAAATTTTTCTCCTGTAACTTTTCACAAAGGTACATGCATAGTATTTATATTTCGATTAATTTTCTCTAGTTTCTAGTTTATCAAGATCTTATAGAATTAGATCTTAGAACTTACCTTCTAATTCACCTTCCAATTCATCAAGTCTTTCTGCACTTGGATACTGCACCGAAATTTGAACTCTTTCCTTCTTAAAGCTCTTATATGATTTCGAAGATCTTCGACTACTTTTTGTTACAGTGACTTCAGGCTGGGCACTACTATTTAACTGATTGTTTGGTGCACTTTGACTTGTATTATTGGCGATAACTACTTGGTTACAAGCTCCTGGAAATAGTAATACTTATAATCAGATCATATCCTATCAGATATCTTTTTATTTACATTATGAGGTAATTATTTTTTCATTTAATAAATAAGTTTTATCTGATAAAACGTAAAACCAATGTATTGCAGAGCAGATTATATATATATATATATATATATATATATATATATATATATATATATATATGAGTGAGTTCTTGAGGGCGATACATCAAACAAAGAAAAGCCAAAGATTTATAAAATAATCTTTATTTCCAAACGTTTCGACATTCAATTTAATGTCATCATCAGTGGATATTACGTTGGTTAGTTACATATAGAGAAGTGTACACAGCACTAGAGATTTGGCACTAACATTTATACAACTAACTTGTCAGCACTATGCATTTTTTTATATAATTTTTTTGTATGATGTAAACAGAAAAATGATAGTTTTATTGAACAAAAATGTAAGTAGAATTATGTAATTTCTGCCACGACTTCTGTACTTTGCTAGTACCGAGGCATGTATATCAAGATATACATGCCTCGGTACTAGCAAAGTACAGAAGTCGTGGCAGAAATTACATAATTCTACTTACATTTTTGTTCAATAAAACTATCATTTTTCTGTTTACATCATACAAAAAAATTATATAAAAAAATGCATAGTGCTGACAAGTTAGTTGTATAAATGTTAGTGCCAAATCTCTAGTGCTGTGTACACTTCTCTATATGTAACTAACCAACGTAATATCCACTGATGATGACATTAAATTGAATGTCGAAACGTTTGGAAATAAAGATTATTTTATAAATCTTTGGCTTTTCTTTGTTTGATGTATCGCCCTCAAGAACTCACTCATATATTTCAACATCAAAATTAACTACTAAATCATATATATATATATATATATATATATATATATATATATATATATATATAATTAAATATATATATATATATATATATATATATAGAGTTTTTTAAAAATATACCCTTATTTTGGGTCAATGCACGATACATCAGAATTCATTTTAGAGGTGTAGTTTCTTCAGCATAGTATCTTATTTTTATCTTTAGTATCCGAAAATTATATGTGCCTAAGCGACTTTTTTGGACCCATATAAATCGACCGCCCTATATATATATATATATATATATATATATATATATATATATATATATATATATATATATGTACTTTTTGTGTTACGTAGTTATAGAATTTATTGAAACTCTCCTTCGATTATTCAGGTTGTTGGGTTATAATTTAACCCTTGTGACTATGGACTGTATTAAACACTGATTTGTTTGTATATTATGTATTTGTTGCAGTTCTAATTACAATCACTGATTTGTTACTAAGTTATAATGAAAGAAGATATATTTATTTTTATTGGTTATTTACATGTTGCTAAGCGGACTTCACTTTTAGAAGTGAAGAACTAGTTCCATTAAACAACCATTCCTTGTAAAGCTTAATGCCCAGAAGTTTGTCACCTTCATGGCCAATATAATAAAACAAAAAGAGGTCCGAATAATATATATATATATATATATATATATATATATATAATTATCTTTGAAACATTAATCACCCTCAGAGAAATTTGTACAGTGGTCAAAATCCTTAAGCTATGTCCTTTGAATTTCCAAAACATTCCTCCAATTTAATGAATTAAAGACCGTTAGTTTTATTACGTTTCAACATTTCAAAAGAAAACCCCTAAATGTCTCAAAGCAAAAACGACAGAAAAAAGTCAAAATAAAATTAAATCATTCCGAATGCATTCCGTCTTCACGCTCCAAGGATATAGGGCGTACGTTGCACGTTCGTCGTACGTGTGTCATACGTCTACGCGAGTGTGGAATTTAATCAGAACAACTTGGATGATCAAAGTTTCTGTAAGATTTCCTTCTGTATCTTGTCTTTTAGTCTGGGATTTAGTAGAAACTAATTTTAAATATTATTTTGATGTCTTAGATGAATGAAAACTACATTCAAGTTTGGAGATACTGATAGGCTTTGAGAAAACATGCTAGATTCGAAGTTAGTACAAATTTACCCCCTACTAAAGAAAGTATTTATCATAAAAAAATAGATTGAAACTTATCCCGGGTACTTTGAGAATTGAGCTCAGAGGTTTAGATCAACTGTGATCGTTTTTTAGTTGTTGTGGTTGTGGTCATTTATTATTAACTTCCCGTAGGGTATCGCAAAAAATCGACAATAAAAAAAATTATATATCTTTATGTTTCAAAGGTTTCTGCGCATTTTACCATACCTTAGAAAAAATGATATCAGGATGTATGTGTGTGTATGTATGTGCGGATTCAATTTTTCGTCGACGATTTCGAGTACACAAATCAACCGGTTTAAATTGATAAGTAGACGAAAATTGTATTCGCACATATATACACACATATACATACACACACAAACATACACACATACATACACACTATGGAAAGAGGAAGAACGAATGGGACTTCGCCCATTTAAAAGATGAGTATGAAGTCAAGGTGAAAATTATAACATTCTAGATCCTCCCACCACAAAGTAATGCCTAACGGCGGTTTTCGTGGAGACCAGTGGCAAGGGCAAAGCAGAGATTTTAGTCGGTATTATACCCAGGCGGTGTTGGGTCCGACATACACAGTCAAAAGACCAGTCTGGGATGCATAAAGGCATTTCTTTCGATATACAAAAAAACACATACACGCATACATCAATTTTTCCTAAGGTATGCTAAAATTCTCCGAAACCTTTGAAACGTAAAGATATAAAAAAAATTATTGTCGATATTTTCGCGACGTCTCCTTATCAATAGGAACAAAAAATTCCAATTAATAAGTAAACGTGCTGATTAGTTTTTGGCAAAGGTCAAGCCGTTTCGATGATTCGGGACAAAAAGTACCAAAAATGATATTTTCCTTATTGAGAGGAGCGTCCGATTTTAATGATTCAAAAAACATTTTACTTATATTGACGAAATTAACAATTGGTGAAAATTTTGAGAAGTCCAGATTTTCCAGAGATCCAATAAAAAAAGTAGATGAAATTGTCATTTTGTGGTCAAAAATGATCATTAATTATACGCAAATCATATTATAAAATATTGGAGATTATAAAAATAAGTACAAATGTGTACCTTTCTATAGGTTCTATACTAAATTCTATACCTTAGACCACGACGCGGCGGCTACAACGGGATTGCTTTAAAAAAAGTTCAGAACTTTCAAAAAAAATTAAAATATAACAAAAACCATTGTTTTCCAAAATCATCAAAAATCTAAAATCTAGTTTTTGGTACAGAAAGTTCCAGCAATATGCCTTAAAGCACAATGCCATGCACCACTAGTTTTTATTCATTTAAAATTTGGTACCCTAACCGTAAATAACATTTAACACTATATTAAAATAATTTCACCATTTTATAATCCTGACCAACTCTTTATAAAACTTGCTAACATGCATTAGTGTTTTTTTTATAGAGGATGGTCTATTAGAGTTGACTAATTTTGAAAATTTTAAATTCATAGTTCAACTACAAAGTGTTAATTTTTGAAATCTTGGTGGAGTTGTATTATTATTTTCGACTATGGTCCCCGAAAAAAAAAATCGAAAATAAATTTTTTTGTATGTCTTAACGTTTCTGAACATTTTGGCTTACCTTAGATAAAATGGATGTATGTGTGGGTGTGTGTTTGCATGTATTTGTGAAAAAAATATTCCAAAATATATAAGTATAAAAAAAGTAGTTTTTCAGGAAGGTCAATTTTTTCAAAAATAATAAAAATCTCAAAGATCAATTTTTAGAGTTCTAAAAAAAACTTGAATTTTTTTTTAAACAAAATAATTTTTGGTACGGAAGGTATGCCAAATTGGTTTCAACAATTTGCCTTAAGGCAGGATGCCATGCAGCACTAGTTTTGTTATTTTTAACTCCCCGTAGGGCAAGTTATAGTAATCGCAAAAAAATCTAAAATGAAAATTTTTATATATCTTTACGTTTCAGTAGTTTCTGAACATTTTGGCATACCTTAAAAAAAATGGATGTATGTGTGTGTGTGCGGATACAAATTTTCGTCGACGATTTCGGGAACACGGATAAAGCGATTTGAATATTTCAAAAAACATTCGATTCGTATTGATAAGAAAACGTGTTGATTAGTTTTTGGTAAAAGCAGGTCTAGCCGTTCCGAAGATATGGGGCAAAAAGTCTATTCAAAAAGAACGGAGCGTCCGATTTGAATATTTCAAAAAACATTTTACATTGTATTGACAAGATGAAGAATTGATCAAATTTTCATGAAGACAGGTCTAGCGGTTAAGGAGATCTAACAACAAAAGTTAAAAAAAATGCCATTTGGCGGTCAAAAATGAACATAGACATACGCACATCAAATTATCAGATATTTTATAGAGATTTTAACAATAAGTATAAATTTTGTTTACATCACTATGGGTTCCGTACCAATGTTTACGCGTTAGACGGCGACGCGGCGCTTACGCGCTTCGATATTTCGTCTTTATGCAGTTAAAGTAGTACGATTGCTTTGAAAAAAAGTTCAGGAGTTCCAAAATATTTTAAAATAAATGACTTAAGATAGAATGATTTAATATGGTTCGAAATTTTATTAAAAGTTTCAAATCATTGATCAACTTTTATTGATTATTATTGATTATTTTTAATTACTCGAATTTTGAATTGCGGTACAGGAAGTTCTAGCAATTTGCCTTAAGGCACGATGCCTTAATTGCCATAAGACAGAATTCCACTTACAGCTAGTTTATTTTGCGAAATATCTACCAGCCCTTAGTCTTTTATTATCAGTAACCCGTATCTTTCGTCGGAGTTCGATGCCATTTTTGCGTCGTGTCGTGACATATGTTTCTAAGTCTTGATTCCAATTCAAGATTTATTTTACTTGTTCGATGTTTTTCGTTTCGAAAGCCGGATAACTTTATTTAATACAACAGCTACAAGAAAAAAGTTGTGTACGAGCTATACTTAAGATGATTGCTATGAGGAAACTTATACAGCAATCGATGAAAATTAAATTTCAACAAATTAACTCACAAAGTTACCCTTGTAGTGTATCATACAGAAGCCAGAAATAAATATATGGATCTTCATTAATTGAAATAGAAATAGAATTATTTATAAATGGTAAACCATTAAAAATATGCAACTGATTCTCAATAAATGTGATTATAATTGATACTGAGATATTGAAAAATTCACTCAATAATTTGAAAAGATGTCATAAAAATGATATGCATAAAGATCAACATACTTCTCATCCTTGAAAGCGGTTTAACTGTCATACACATGCGTTTGGCTCTTTCAAAAAAATAAATTATTATAATAACATGTTCAAATAATCCTAGATTTAATTACCTGAATTGGAATTATTGGTCGCATGATGCAAAACCCAGGTGTTGGTCCTTGATATAGATGATTTTTCAGGTGATTCGTGAGTACTTCCTAAGCTGGTACTTGCACTACGTGGTGAACTATGTTGTGGAGAACAATTCCTCAAAGAAGTAGATGTAGACATTCTCCCTAAATGAAAATAATAGTATTAGTAATGCTTGATAGTTATTCCATTATCAACCAAAAATTATCGAAAATTGTATATCGAAAATTTAATTTGATTAACTAGGGATACATCAGGTGTAAACTTTAACATTAAAATGTACATTCTGTATATAAAAACAATCATGCTTAAAATCTTCTATTTTTTAAAATAAACTGGTAAGCATTGAATAAACTTTTATACAAGGGAATTTTCAGAATTTCGTTCTTCTGATTATTCATAAAATATTGAAACCAAAAATAGAGAGAAAATATTTATCATTTAAAACCGAATTCTCAATTCATGATTGGTCTTACTGAAGCATTTATAAGCTATATCATTTTAACACAGTATATGAAATTTTCAATTTCAGTTTTGTAATTGCAGAAACTTTTATAGAAATAAATATTAAATCTATGTGCCAATCTATCTATACATAATTCAAGATTTGAAATCAAATCTCTTTCATATTTCAAACTAACAATGAATCAATTTATTCTCTGGATTCATAGAGCAATTGAGTTTTCAAGCCTGTGCAAAAAATCAATGAAAAAGCCTGACCTTTATACTTTATACTGAGAATGAAAATAAATTCTGCGTCCTCTTGCTGTTTCAAATTATTTGCATTCTTTTTGAAACAAAGTAGTGAAAAAGTATGCAATAACTTGATTGCAATATGCTACAGAATTGGCAGCTTCATAGGAACATTTTCACAAAAACTTTATCATAGTGAATAAAGCTTTTTGATAAAAGATATATTTTGCTGCATAAAGGAACAAAAAAAAAAGTGATGAGTAATTAAAAATATGAACAAATACTAAACATATCTTTACATGAATACTACAAGTAATTAATTTTTTATAAAAATATTAAGTAGTAATAATTAAAAAAGAGTAAAAATAATTTGGATCCTTCACTAGAAGTAATAGCCATTTAATTTGAAATGTAATTGTATGATATATTTTCTGTATAAATAAAAAAATTAACGCAATTAATCCTTTTACCTTAAATAATATATAATATATATTAATAAATTCTAAAGGGACATATATTTTCTATCATTATTTGTTTTAATCTCATGATATATACATTTAATACATTATATAAAGAAATTATGTTATTAAACCACAGAACAAGCAATATTTGATGTGTACTGTACTGAATTATTACAATGTTTCTAAAATTAATATTTTTTTTTAATTATCAATGGATCAATTAGCATAATTAGTACTAACAATTTGAATTGAATTTTTAAAATTCACAAAAAATTTAATTAAAAAAAAGTTATTGATTTTAGGAGCTCAAATAATTCTTTGTATCTCCAATATTTGTTTTTGTTTTTTAGAAGAACTATTGCTTAGTATAATTTTTATTAAAAATCGATTCAAAAATATTTTAAAGGTTTAATTCTATGCAAAATTTAGATATTTATTAACTTCCCGTAGGGTAAGTTATAGTAATCGCAAAAAAATCGAAAATGAAAATTTTTATATATCTTTACATTTCAGAGGTTTCTGAATATTTTGGCATACCTTAAAAAAATGGATGTATGTGTGTGTGTGCGTGTGTGTATGTGTGTTCGGATTCAAAATTTCGTCGACGATTTCGGGAACACGGATGAAGCGATTTGAATAATTCAAAAAGCATTCGATTCGTATTGATAAGGAGACGTGCTGATTAGGTTTAGCCGTTCCAAAGATATGGGGCACAAAGTGCCAAAAACGGTAACTCAGTTTTTAAGAGAACGGAGCGTATGATTTTAATAATTCAAAAAACATTTTACTTATATTGACAAGGTGAAGAACCGATTAAATTTTCATAAAGGCAGGTCTAGCGGTTTCGGAGATCTAGTACAAAAAATGTCATTTGGCGGTCAAATATAATCATTAAACATATGCACATCAAATTATCAGCTATTTTTTCAGAGATTTTAACAATAAGTATAAATTTTGTTTACATTCCTATGGGTTCCCTACCAATGCTTATCCGTCAGACAGCGGCGCGGCGTTCACGCGCTTCGATATTTTGTCTGTATGCAGTTAAAGCAGTACGATTGCTTTGAAAAAAAAAGTTCACAATTTCCAAAATATTTCAAAATACACTTTTCTTCAAAAAACGTCATTTTTTCAAAAAAAGTAAATTTATGTCAAAAAATATAGTTTTTCAAAAATTTTATTTTTCAGAGTAATTTTTTTTCAAAAATGTTAATCTTAAAAAAAAACAAATTTTAGGTACGGAAAGTTCCAGCAATTTGCCTTGAGGCACGATGCCATGCGCCCCACTAATTATCATCATTTTTGAAAAGAAACAACAAAACACTTAAAGGGTGTTTTATTTTGATTAATTATCACCATGCAATTTTTTTTACAATTTTGGTTTTTGTCTTCTGAAAAATGTAAACGTAAATGTGGTAATTAAATATTTCTATTTTTTTAATTAGATGCTTATCGAAAAAAAACATAACCATCTCCTTTTTGTTTTGTAATAATTGTGTAATTATTGACGCTTAAAATTATGACGCTAAAAAATAATTAATAATATATATATATATATATATATGCATATTAATTATTACAATAGCACTATTCGTAATTAGCATTTCGAAATGATATCAATTTTTCAGACACGTGCCTCGGTTTCATGGATATTTTAGGAACGCTCGCTGCATATAAAATATACAGAGATGAAATAATGTATAACGAGACAATCAAAATATATGTAAAACTGTTTGATTCTATAACATCATAATGGCCAGAAACATAGAGAGGCAGTCAAAGGACATTCAGATAAAATTTTCATCAAATTATCTCATAAACGGATAATTGAAGATTAAAGTCCTACACATATTTCTACACAAATATTCTGTATTTGCTTATAATTTTAAATTAGCACGTACAACATTTTGCACGACCAAGTTTCTAGATATAAAATATTGCTCAAAGGCATATAATGTTTTTTGTAACATAACAGAACTTATACAAATTGGTTTATATATAATTATATTTTGTTTGTGGCTTTGTATCTAACTATTGAGAGGTATATTAGTAAATATATGTGAAAATAATATGAAAAATGGTACGGATGAAAATCTCTGTAAGTTATGGATGTATGTATAAATGTTGCTAAAGGGATATTGTTTAAAAATATATTGAATAAAGTAAACTAAAATAATGAATATTGAATATCAAGTTTCAATTATATATTATTTTATATATACTTTCATATGTAACAAGAGCTTTTTACAAAATTGAAAATATTTTACTAAATATATAAAAACAGTACCATGAACGCTGATATTTATATCCAGCAAAAGTCAATATAGAGATTTTTACTTTTTTAAAAACCAATTTGCAGGATTTTTGATAATAAAATTTATATCTATATATATATATATATATATATATATATATCTGTGTGTGTATGCAGGAATTTACTAATCTTTAAAAAATATTTTTGGTTTCTGAAACACACAAAACCAATATTAACATTTTCAAAAAAATGCTTATTAGTTTTAAAAAGGTTGTTTGAATCTATGTGTGATCACTGGTAAAAAAATTAGGTAGAATATTAAGCAATATTTTTTCAAAAAACTAATTAATATAGGTCGTAATAGAAAAGGATATTGGCATGAATATTTTTCTTTGAACTAAAATAATGAAATTAATTGTCAATTTAAATAAAAATAAAATTTGTATTGAATAAATGCTGTATATATTGTCCTTGTTAAATAAACGTGCACGTTCAAGGTAGGAAATAGATGTGATGGAAAAATTATTCAAAAAATATTTCTCGTTGGTTACAGCTCAATGCTTCCTTATTTTTTTTTAATTAATTAATATGCTAATTTGTGTATGATTTTGGCTTCGAGATAATGTATTCTCTCACTGTGTGAATGAATTTTCAAACTGTATCCTTTAAGAAGTTAAACTTTTTAATTCATCAAGATTTAGTTGAATAATAAAGAGAATAAAAAACTTGCTTTATCAAATTACTGACGTCAAAATTTTGACTAGCTCTTCACTTCGATATGATGTTGATTCGGACCAGTTTTGATGTAATCTCGTTATCCCGAAGGAATAAATTGAATTATTTTAACGAATAATTCTGAGCGGCAAAACTTTCTATTGGATTGCTATTCAAAGAATTGTGTTTTGTTCATATAGCAGTAATGAGGCTAACTAACTGTTCAATAGAACTACGATTCGCTCTTTAATACGATTTTCCATTCCTTATTTACTTACTTGATTTGATTTTCATTTGAAATCATCTGACTATTGTTTGAGTTATATTTGCGTCTAACAATAGCCAATTATTATAAATTTATGACGGGAATTATGAATCGCGGAAATTATTCATTCATGAAAACGGAAAATGAAGTTTCAGAATAGAAATAGATTATATTCGAAACTTATATACATATTTATAAATATATACACAACTTTGTTATTCTTATTACTATATATATACGTTATTCTTATTACTTATTATTATATGTATTAAAATTAATTTCATAATTTCAGCATACAGCACTTTACATACTATAATTTTGAACTATTTTGCAAAGCAATGGAAAAGCATTTTACAGTAAATACATAAATCATTTAAAACAAATTAGAACTTCACAAGCAGCAAAAAGTAATATGACACATCTCCCACAATGTGCTCATTCGAATATGAAAAATAAAAAAAGAGAATGATAGTAGTCTGTAAAACATTAAATTTAAAAACTAGTTGGTATTGGTATTTTGTCTTGAAGCAAGTTAAATGAACTTCCCGATATGTAAATAATCGACTTAATCAATGAAAAATAAGTTAATTTATGAGCGATTAGAAGTATTCCAAGTGGATTTATTATACATAATTGAAAACAAACGAACACGTTAACTCGGAGTATTTTCTAAAATCAAATTTTCACAAATCACTTTATAGTTCAGTATGTTCATTAAGGCCAAGTACTCTATCGTTATACCAAGTAAATCGTCTAATTTTAATTTTAACAAACGTCAAAAAAACTACTCATCTTCTCAAACTTTGATGAATTTTTAAAATTAAACTACTTGTCGCAAGGCAGTAATATTTCAGTAAGTTTTATAAGACCATGATATATTTCGCCAAAAAAAGTTTCATAAAAATCGGCTTAAATTTTTTTTTCAACAGTTAATTACAAAGCTCGGTAGTTTTTCACCTAAAACTAATCAGTATCATTCCCAACTGATATCTTTTAAACAGTTTTTGATTTTTAAAAATCGATTTGATAGTATGAGCTTAAATGTGGACGAAAAGTTTAACACTTTTTTCCAAATTACAATGAAACGGTTCGGCCGATCGCCGAATAATCCACATCGAGAATCATCAAATGGCTTTTAAATTTCTGAAATCGCATCAAGCGTTTTTGAGCAAACGTCGATGAAAGGTCTAATTTTGACAAGTGCCAAAAAAACTATACCAATTTTTGCAAACCTTGACAAATATTTTAAGTTGAACGAGTTATCGTAGGGCCGTAATTCGTAATATTTGAGTATGGTCTATAAGCCTATGGTATCTAATCTACTATCAAAAAATAATAATAAAAATCGTCGAAATTTTTTTTAATACTTTATTACAAGAAAACGGGCCAGCCGATCTCTATCAAAAACTAATCAGCACGATTCCCAACCATATATCTTTCGAACTGTTTTTGAATTTTTCACTTTTCTGCTATTTATAAAGAAACGGATTGGCCAATCGCCAACTGAACTGACAAACAATAGTCCCCAACGAGGAGCATCGAATGGCTTTTGAATTTTTGAAATCGGTCCAGCCGTTTTTGAGAAAACGTCGATTTACGGTAAAAAATCTGTTCAATTACATGCACACACATATACATACTTTTTCCAAATTTGGTCTCATTCGATTCAGAATGGCTTGAAACTTCGAGAAAACATAAAATTAGTGAATTGAATTTTTTGATGAAAACAAACTTCTCCTTCGAGAAGTTAAAAAATAGGAATCTAAGCTATATTTTTATTAGATAAATGTTGTCAATACCTGTCTTTTATGTAATTCCATTTTGCCACATGATATGCGTATTAAATTTTAATACAATATCATAATAGAGATTTACAGAAGAGAAGTATTAATTAAGAAGCAAAAATTATATTCTAAAAGGTCTTGGTCACGTCTCAATCTCACGGTATGTCGCATTAATTAAAAAGTTTTATAAGTAGCGTTTCTAAATGATTTCCTTTTCTATAAACTGGTCTTGAAGTGTACAAACTTTACTAAAAGCCATTTCATTAATGTTACATTTGAGAACGTATACAAACTATTCAGGAATTCATTTTAATAATATATTATAGTAAAATAATCGAAATTGTAGAATGCTTAGTACCTATCAGTTTCATGAGAATATAGATTTTTTTCGTAACAATAATTACTTACCTGAAGCATTGCTTTTAATGGAAGAATGATGATGACATCTTCTATTTTCAGAACCACCCCGTCCTCTATGAATCCTTAAAGTTAGGCGTTGTTCGTCAAATCGTCCTATACCACGCGAACCTAAAAGTGATAAATAGTTATTAAAACTAAAATATATTTCTTGAAGACAGTTAATTTATATTTATAAGAAAAACTTTCACTAAGTAAGTCTTTCTAGACATTATTTTAATAAATTTTCACATGACATTTGGTATTGATTTTAATTGGTTCTGGATCGAGTATGTCTGACAAATTGTATGTATGCTTATTTGTTGCCTATTCATTTAATTTCATATATATAGTATGATGGTCCTTAATATGGACTTTTTCGAATTTTCTTGCACCCAAGGGCTCAAATGGTTCCAAATTGATAAAAAACAATTCTCTGAAAGTTTTAGCTCTTAATATTAACTTTTAGATAGTGCGCAATTCAATCAAACTTCGTATGGAAATAGCATGGAAAAAATTTTGAAAATAAAAAAAAAATTAGGTATAACTTAGCGACAAATTTTGAAAAAAACTCATTCATTTGTTCGCTAAATTATAGCTTAAAACATTTTTAATTCTTTTGAAAAATTTTTCATGCTATTTTCACACAATTTGCGCACTATCTAAAAGTCAATATTAAGAGTAAAACTTTCAGAGAATTGTTTTTTATCAATTTGGAACCATTTGAGCCCTTGGGAGCAAGGAATTTGAAAATGTCCATATTAAGGACCATCCTATTATATACATACATATATATATATATATATATATATATATATATATATATGTATATATATATAAATTCTTACGGGTGTATGATTTGATACTTCTAAACGGTTTTTCGGAATTTTCATAATTCTTTTTAGAGTTTGTCAAAGAATTTTTTTAAGATTTAATGAACGATAAAACTATAGTAATATTGTAGAAATAAATGGCAAAAATTACAAAAAACACACTTATTGAAAACATTTGAACAGTCATCTGCTAGAAATGTCAATTTACTTGATAATTGAATTTAGTTGAAATTATGAGCCTAGATAATATTAAAATATAATATGCAAGAAAAATGTAAAGTCTACTGCAGCTGAGATGTGCCAGAAATTAAAATAATATAATATACAGTCAACAGCACATGTTTGGCAGACGAAATTACATAATTCAGTTTAATAAATAACGCAATAAGTTCAAAATTGCACATACATTATTTTTTTAAACTTATGCATGTCGCATTTTGGTTTGCTTCACAAAATTATTTAACAATACAACAAAATATTTCTACTTATTAAAATTATGATTTAAAGTTTTGTTTCTTGTGTGAAAAATTCATTTGTTTGGCATTGGATGTGGAATATTTAGCATGTTGATTTTAGATTGATGAGTACTCATATGTACTAGATTTTATGAAGTAAATCACCTAAGAATTAAACTTAAATAATAATGCTTATGAAATTATAAGTAAAAAAGATGTACTTTAGAAATTATGATTGCCAAGAAGCAACTAATATATCGTACGAAGTTATGAAAATTATAGATTAAATTATTGAAGCACTTATGTTGTGTGGTAAAATCAAGTGTGATATTTTTATTTATTGCAGATAAAATATTTTTTTTGGATTTCTTATACTATTTATGCTAAGACCATAAATAAATCACAAAGGCAGGACATCAAATAGGATATTAAAAATAGTAGGATAAGTTATTAAAAAAATTGAAACTTTTGAATTGTAGACGTGGGTACAGGACAACGTCCGTTGAGTCATCTAGTGTATATATATATATATATATATATATATATATATATATATATATATATATATATATATATATATATATATTATATGTCTGAACTAAATGATCCATGGTTCCAGGAACGTTAAACCGAAGATAAACTCTCCAGAAAATAATCTCATCCACTCAATCTATCTCAATGCACGTTTCTGCAATTAATAGATCTTTTGCTGCAGTTTCTTTGACAAAAAAAAAGAATTATCCTGAGATAAAACAATGCTAAAATCGTAGCCATTCAATTCAGGTTTAGTTAGTACTAATAATAAGTCGTTTACTATTTCTAAGGAACTTCTTTAAAATGAGTAATGGCATGGCATAAAATGCATTCGTAGTTGTCTAAAGACTTAGAGTCGAAGACAAAGTAGGAAATTAAATTTGTGAGACACAAAGGGTAGGTATTAGAGTTTCTTGGTCATTTCCAAGAAAACCATGTTTGGTTATGAAGTGGATGCAACAGTAAAATTCTGCTGCTTATTTCTCTCGCAGTTAGTTACATGAATAATAATTTTTATTCAGCTATATTGATATTTTTTTAATACAGATATATCAATAGAATAAGTTTATAATTTCATAAATTTTAAATAAATAGAAAAATACAAATGAGCGATAGTATAATATAAAGTATAGTTATTATCATTATATAGTTAAATGGCAAAGTCCAACAGTTAGTAAAAAATAGTTGAAAACAGACAATGTAAGTAATATCGTAATTAATTCATGTTTTATAATAATTGTAAGTTTACAGTTATTACAGTTTTTATAATTTAGAATTTATTATCTACTAATATATAAATATAAACAAATGATAATATGATATAATATCTAGAGAAATGATCATTGGTAAATTTGCCATGACTACATTCATTAATTAATAGAGTATACTAACAAACTAGCGGCGCCTGGCAACGTGCCTTAAGGCAAATTGCTGGAACTTCCCGTATCGTCATGAAATATTCGAAGAATTTTAAATGTTTGCAAATAGGTAATAAATGCTGTAATATTCATTATTCGTATTTAGTGGAAAAAAAATTCGTAGCTTATTTGTACGACGACGTTTATTACTTAATCTAATCTAATCTAATTTAATCTAGTTGAAGAACCAGCAAATTTAGAATAACTTATTTGCAGTATATAAGTAAGGTTTAACATATTATTTGTAATTAAAAGTAATAATATTTTCGATTTTTTTTTCAATTTTGAAACTGATCTTTCCCAAAAACTAATAGTTTCTTCACATTGTCAACACAAGCTAAATATTTTTTTAATCATTTGAATTAGCTATTTTGTTCACTCATAACCTGCCATTTTTTCACTTCAGCACCGTATCTCAAAAACGGCTAGACCTGACTTTCCTAAAAACTAATCACCACGTCTCCCCATCATTGTGAAGTGAATATTTTTTAAATCATTCATTTCGGATGTTCTATTCTCTAAAAAACTTAGTTTCTATTTTCTCCATAAAAATGCCCCGTATCTTCGAAACGGTTGAAACTGTCTTTGCCAAAAACTAATTAGCACGTTTCCCTATCAATAGAAATCGAATCATTCAAATCGGTTGACTCATACATCCGAAAACGCCGACAAAATGCTGTATCCACTAAGGTATGCCAAAATGCTCAGAAACGTCTGAAACGTAAAAAAATGCACTTCTATTTTCGATTTTTGGATGATCATAATAAATTACCCTACGGGTAAGTTAATAATTATAATACAACAGCAATCAGAACCTTACGTCTTATGAGCTGTTGGGCTGAAACTTCTTACTTCGTATTTTTAGATGGTAACCCAATGGTTAATCCATCCATATTTGATGATTTTTGTTATTAGAATTAATCTAATAGGGCTGACTTTTTATTGGTGCAGCAATGCCGGGCAAGGGCTATTTTCACTTAGAAACATATTGCTATCTATATTTCCAAGTGAAAATTGTTGTCACTGCTGCCTGACAACAGGCTGCTCGAAGTGGGTATGGAACCCGGGACCTCAGAAATAAGTTCCGTCGCTCTTAACCGCTTACCTACTGGCGAGCCCAAATAAAAAAAAATAAATAAAAAGATGTCTGAAATGCTTTAGCAAATAATATAAATCAATTTAACTTAGACGATATGAAAAAAGCACCTTTCTAATTTTTATTTATTTTCTACATTTCCAAAATCACTTGCTTACCCAAACACCTACAGACGTGACTCTGTCTATATTGATTGTGCATAGTACGTGCCTTTGATATGAATTTTTATGCCGTTTTTTCATCGAGGGTATCGATTTGTCTATATCTCGTGTTTTAAATCGCCTTACATGTAAATAAGACATCAAAGCCTGTTTGAATTTCAATTACTTAAACACAGCCACCCGAATAACAGAAATTCTCGAGACTGATATTCAAACAGTGAAAAGAAATCGGCGCTTATAAATAATATTATCAATTTAAAAAAAATACACGATTTCATTCAATATGCGTAGGATTTTCGTTTGCTTATGAGTAAATTTTTCAGGCGACTTTAGCGATTGATGTGTAAAATTTTATAATTAACTTCCCGTTCAGTAAGCTTTTAGCTGAATAAGCTGAAATTTTCACCTCTTTATTTCGAATATAAAATTTTTCCTCTAACTAAAAAATCAGCTCTATCTCAAAACTGTTGCAAGCGTTTAAATGTTTTTTGTTCGTAAGTTAGGACTGTTAAGTTTAGGAATGTAAGAGAATCTTAAAAATGTTCAAAACTCATCAATATAAAAGATCTTTTTTTTTAAATTGCTAAGCATATCGGTAATATGAAAGCTTCAAACGCAAAGTGTATGAATTGTCATGTAGCCAAGATTATTGAAAAAACTTGCGTTTCAATATTACTAAATGCTGGCGCGAAAAATCGCAAAAAATATATTTCACGATCACGTTATATTTTATCATGATTAACTTTCCGAAGCAGAAGTTTGTTTTCATGAAAAAATCCGATTTGCTAATTTTATGTTTTCTCGACGTTTCAAGCCATTCTGAATCGAATGAGATCAAATTAGGAAAAAGCATGTATGTGTGTGTGTATGTGAACAGATTTTTTGCCGTAAATCGACGTTTCCTTAAAAACGGCTGAACCGATTTAAAGAATTTAAAAGCCATTCGATGTTTGAGGACTAGCGTTTCTTTGTGAATCGCAGCAAACTGACAATTTTTTTGTCCACGTTTTAGCCCACAATTATGAATCGATTTTGCAAATTTAAAAACTGTTCGAAAGATATTTGTTGGGAATCGACCTGATTAGTTTTTGGTAAAGATCGGCTGGGCGGTTTTCTTGTAATAAATTGTTAAAAAAAATTTTCAAGGATTTTTATAAATTTTTTTTTGACGGTAGATATCATAGTCTTATAGATCATACTGAAAACGATTCTACAAGAAGTCGTTTATATTTAAAAATTCGTCAAAGTTGCAAAAATTAGTAT